CCTTTTCTGATGCGGATTATGGAGGATGCAAATTAGATAGGAAAAGCACCTCCGGTACTTGCCAATTCCTTGGAAATATGTAATTCTAGAAATAAGACATCACTTCATTAGAGACCATGTCACTAAGGAAGATGTAATTCTAGAATTTGTTGATACTTTGCACCAATTAGCGGATATTTTTACAAAGCCTTTAAACAAGGAAAGATTTTGGACACTTAGGAGAGAATTAGGTTTAACCAACCTATCTTCACTTAGTGTTTAAAATAATTTTAGCACTTTTAAGAATAAATGAAAAATGCTTATAATAATAATTTTTTATTGCAATCTATGCTATTAGTTAGGGGGAGTTTATGTTATTTGGTGAAAATTAATTTTATGTTCAAATGAAGTTTAAAGAATAATTTGATTGATTGAACATGATTAATTTTCAATATATGAGTTACCAAAACCACTAGAACTAATTAATTTAGCATTTTGAGTGTTTAAAATGGATTTTTGACATTTTTGTGCTTAATTCATCGATTCACTTAACAGTACATCGATGCATTCCTTTGAATGTGCATCGATTCATCTTGTTGATGCACCGATGCACGCCTTGAATGTGCATCGATGCACAGGGTCATGCATCGATGCATCCGTCGGGTTTTAGGTAAAAAAAGGCTTATTTTCTCATTTGTTTCAAAACCTAAAACTAAACTCTCTTAGCCTTTCGCCTCCTCTCTCTTTCCTACTCTCAAAATTACTCCAAATCCTTAGTTTTTGATCTGAATCTTCGAGCTTTTCAACTCCTAATCTTGCTTCAATCATTAATTTGTGCAAAACATCAATACATCCCTCTCAATCTGAAATTTCAAGGTAAACTTTTCTAAAAACTCATTTTATCAATTTTTGATCTTAGGGCTAGTCTTGATTAGTTCTAGGATGAACATTATATCGGGCATTGGTTATATGATGATTCTAAACTAGATTTTACAACAAATTTCATCAAAAACACATAATCTTTCAAATTTTTCTTTGAAATTTGAAATTAAAAAAAATATTTTCGAAAATCATTGATGTTTTTGACTTCATTATATTGTTTTTATGAAAACTATATGTACTGCAATATTTCCAATGATATTTTCAAATAGTTTTCAAAACTTTGCCCATTAGGATTGTTTTAGAGAACCTTGATTATTGCAGACTCAATTGAGTTTTGGGATTGATTATTGTGCATACATGTTTTTCAATTTGCAGGTTATCTATTTCTTTCCTTTTTTCGATCTCTAAACCATGTCTAATCCCAAACGCCCTAGGACTTCGTCGATTCGTTCTCGTTCAAATCAACCTCTTAATCCGATTTCCTCCTCCGCCTCTCGATCCTTCTATGGATGACTAGACTTATTTTATTTTGATTGTATTTGGGATTAAAACTTAAAACTTGGATTGTTAAAACATTTTGCTGTTTTTGAATTGTTTAAATTGTTGTTGGATGTTTGAACTTTTTATTTATTTGGTTTGATCTTTATGAGCTTCATGTTTATTAATTTTTGCATTATTGACATCTTAGTTGCATTATGACCAATTTACCATTTCACATTTGATTTGAATATTGATTATGAACACTAATGGCTAACCTCTCTTTTGATCTTTAATCTTAGCAGCTTAAGCTATATTCAATTAAAATGTTTAATCAATTGGCTATTTTTTTTCAAAGCCTTCTTTCACTCAGTTTTTGAGTCTTTTTTATTTAACAAAAAGGGGGAGAAGTGTTAAGTGTTAAAAGTTTTAAAGGGGAGAAGTGTTATAGTAAGGGGGAGTAATTTCAAAATTGATTTCAAAACTTATTTTCAAAGAAAATCTTAAAATTACTCAAGAGTTTTGTTATATCAAAAAGGGGGAGATTGTTGAAAATATTTTGATGTTTCGATATAACAAATTAAGTTAAATGAATTTTAAGATTTTACAAATGATTTTTCAAAAAGTATATTCGATTTAATTACTCGAATATCAAGCTATTACTCCAAGTCTTTCAAGATCTATTTTAAACCTTACTAAATGTGTAAATTTGTGTTTTATACTAAAACTATTTTTGAAACATTTTTCACAAAGTATTTTGAACCAAAATCAAGCCTAAAATCAAATTTTCAAAGTGATGCACCGATGCACCAATCCATGCATCGATGCACCATGGAATTAATTAAACATCGAATGAATTTTATGCATCGATGCATGGTCTTGTGCATCGATGCACTCAGTGCATTTGATGCATCGATGCACAAGACCATGCATCGATGCACTCAGGCTATTTCAAAACATCGAATTCATTTCATGCATCGATGCACTCTTAGTGCACCGATGCACTGAGAGTCCAACGGTAAAAATATTTGAATTTTACACTGATGCACCGATGCACCTAGGGTATGCATCGATGCACTGACGCTCCCAACTGAATTTATTAATTGTTTTCACACTTAAACAACTCTATTAACTCCACTAATCATCCCCAACATTCAGAATCATTTGAAGGTGTATTTAAACAAGCTTAGAAGCCATTGATCAAGAACAAGAAACATCAAGCAACTAGAATCAAGGGAGAATCAAAGAGAAAACATCAAACCTCAAGTTTGAGCATTTCGAGCCTATTTTTCATTCAATATTCATTTTGCTTTCAAGAACACTTATTGTGCTCAATTGTATTTATTCTTGAGTGTTCTTTCTTTGTTCTAGAATTGTGCAAACATATTTGCCTTGTGAGGTTTTTCTTGTAAGTTTGCAAATTTGTAATCTTCTCTTTGAGAAAAGAGTGTTCTCAATAATTGGAGTATATTCTTGAGGGAGTTGTAAGGTTATCTCTTTGGCCTCAAAAGAAAGAACAAATTAGTGAATTTGTTAGAAAATCCTTAGTGTGGATAGCTAAGGTAGTAGACGTAGACTTTGGTTGATAAAGTCGAACCACTGTAAATCGCTGTATAATTACTTTCAATTTTCTGCAAAAGCTTCTACCAAAAATTTTTATTGCCAATTCACCCCCCTCTAGGCTGATTCCATCGATCGATTAACTCAACAGACATGTGTCCAAGTTTCTGATGCCATAACATTGCAGAATCTGAACTACATGAGGCAACAGAGGCTTCTGCTTCTAGCAAAGTCTCTCCCTTCAGCATGTACAAGTTTACTGCTATCTTTTCGCCTTTCATCACCACAAGCGCTCCACGGAATACCTTCATGATTTCTCTTTGTGTTTCTATCTTGCTTGCATTATTATCCAACAATCCGTAGGATAATAAATTTTTCTTCAGGCCTTTCACATGCCGTACATCTCGAACAACTTTAATTGTTCCATCATACATCTTCAACTTGATGGTTCTAACGCCAACGATCTCTAAGACATAATCATTGCAACTATACATAGATCCTCCTAAGACAAGTTCATAATGATGGAACCATTCTCTTATTGAGGTCATGTGATATGCTGCTCCCGAATCAATGAGTCATATATCTGCAAATCGTTTTCTATCTTCCACGGTGGTTGACGCTTCACAGCATAGAGCATCTCCATCATCTGAAGTGTTTGCGGTATTGCCTCGTGGATTGGAGTTTTTATTTAGACTCCAACAATCATTCTTTAAGTGGCCCTTCTTTCCACAGTTGTAACACTTTAAATTCTTCTTGCTCCTCGACTTCGATCTACCATATTTGTGACTGATGCTTTGGATACGTTCTGTTGATCTCCCTCTCATCGTTGTCAATGTTTCTTCTTGTTGCAGATTTACTTGTTTGTCTTCCTTATTCTTGCGCCGATTTTCTTCTTGTAGAACAGCAGCTGTAACGTCATCGAAGACTAGACTGGTGATATTACTGTTTGTCAAGTTGATGATGAGTTGATCATACGAATCCGATAGACTTTGAAGTAGAAGTTCAACACGTTCTTGTTCTCCTATTTTACAGCTTAAGGATGTAAGCTGAGAAAATAAAGTGTTCAGTGTATTTAAGTATTCCGTCACTGAAGTAGATTCTGGCATACGGAGAGTGTACAATTTTCTCTTAAGGAAAATTTTATTGTGCAGCGATGTGGCCTCGTACAGTTTGTTGAGATGATCCCAGATCTCCTTAGCTGTCTTCTTCTCCTCGATGCTTAACAAGACTTCATCTGCTAATGCTAGATGAAAGTTTGCCACAACATTCTCGTCCATCTCGATCCATTTGTTGTCATCTGTGAAATCTACTGGCCTTTCACTGATAGCTGCTAGATAGCCGTCTTTCCTCAGGATGACCTTCATCTTCAATTTCCACAATGAGAAATTTCTTCCATTGAACTTTTCATTATCAAATTTCGTTGCCATGACTTCTATTACGGATAACTCCCACTATTTCACTATCGTGATTAGTTCTCTGAAACCTTCAAAGAATGGGTAATACCTTCTTACTTTCTTATGTTGGATGATCCACCTTTTGGTGGTAACCACAAAGACAATAAGCAGATATTACATACTCAAATCTGGCTCTGATACCAATTGTTGCGGAAGGCGGCTATCGGATAGAGCAAAATCGCAACTAATAATTTGAGAAAATAAAATAAAAGATAAAAGAGACATAAAATTTACATGGAAACCCCCTAAATAATATAGGGTAAAAACCACGGGCAATGGTAGAAGAATTTCACTATGAGAAAATAGGAATTATAACTTCTCTCGATTTACCAAGGAGAAAACAATGATAATTTTCTCTTGATAAAAACGAGAAAACAACTCTCAAGAAACTCTCTAAATTATCTAGTATTGGAAGAAAGCTAGAATGTTTTGGGATGATTTTGAAGCTGAATGAATTATGATATTTATAGTTGAAGTATAAGGACTAATTTATAAATACTCTAAATTACAATGACTAAAAAATGAGATTTTACCATTACCCAAAATTAAGAAAAAAAATAGCAACTTTCGGTGTTTTTTTAATTCATTCGGTGCAACAATTTCAACAATTGTTGCTTGACTTTTCTACAAACAAGAGGCCATGTATTTGTCACTGCCTTCAACCCTCTTTGCATGATCATCGTTGCAGCTCTTGGTTACGCTGTTCTCGGCGAGCAAATCCACCTCGGAAGGTACTTCCATCAGCTTTACCAGTACCAACATTTTACATGGAAACCTGATCCCAAATTACTAAAGCCACTTTAAACATTTAATCTTACATTATCTTGAACAACGTTGGTGTTTGATAATTGAGCAAATTAGCCCCTGGTTTCTTCCTTCTTATCCCACATAGGAAAGAGTGAAAGCTCAAGCAAAACAACACATTAAAGGAATTCTCTAAAAAACTTGATAAAGGTCGCCATGGAAAAGCCATCAACTTTAAAGTACCATACTAAAAAACTAAAAGGAAAAAGGTATATATTTGTTCTTTTCAGATTTCAATTCATATCTCTCCATTAACAGATATATTCTTCTTCTTTCTTTTCACTATGATATGTAGCATCATAGGAGGAATCGTTATCGCTATCGGCCTTTATTGTGTCGTGTGGGGTAAAAGCAAGGATTATTCATCACCATCTGCACCTGCAAAAGATGATTGTAACCAGCAACAGCTACCGATTTCTGAAAAACATTGTGGTGATGCCACTAAGCTTGCCATTGCCAGAATTGACACTGCTCAGCAGAATGGAAAGTAAAAGATCGCATTTCTTGCAGTTTCAAAATGGACTAAATTATCTAAAACCTTTCCATTATTACACTCTTCTCTGCAACTTGTTAACGGAAAAAAAAAGTAGTTATCAGGAATGGGTGTTGATTATATTTTATCGGTACGCTTCTCGAACGAGAATAGCAATGTATTGAGCTCTATTATTTAAAAGAATAAATAAACAGAAAAACTGGATGACAAAGTTGTTTACCATCATCACACCATTGGCATCTATGAGTGTGGAAGTAGCATTAATGTTAGATTATCAAGGATGAAAAGAACAAGATCGGAAAGAAATAATGAAGGCTTAATATTTTAGTAAAACGGGCCAAAGCCCAAAACCAATCCACCATTTCGTTAAACTGATCGACAATTTATATGGCACATACATTCAACCACTGTCACTCCGAATCGGGTTTACACTCAAAGCTACTGTTCTTGTATTATCACTCACATAAAATGAAATTTTGGCATATTTAAACGGCATGTTTGTAGGTCTCTGTTTTCATGTGTGCAATGTGTTGTTACCTTTAAGTTTTCTTATTGGATTCTTGCTGTTTTGAATCACGAAGTATAAGGCTTTTTCAGTTGTTCTCTATTGGGTAAAAGGTGTGCATAGTGTCGTGCTTCTTTCATACTGACAAGTATCTATTTTGCACCTGCTTAAGTTCTCCTAAAAACATGACTTGAGCAGTTCTCATTTCCAAACGGTCGGTAGCTAACATACTGGTGATCAGCGTTCTATATCTCTAGTTCCGCTTGGCAAGCTTTCATAGGTTGCAAGAGATGAACTTGTTCAAAATGTTGGAAATTACATAGTAAGATGCTGATTGTTGCGCTTTGAATATTTAGTGGGGGTGGATCTTGAAGGGTATCTATAAACATAATAACACGTTCATATTTATGTTCTTTTGTAAAACTATTTTATTTTCTAGGGGTTAAAAATTTTGTAGCCGTCTACGTGTTCTTTTTTCTCTTCTAATTGAAGGATTTTTTAATGAGACATAAGATGATCTTGTATGATATTTTTCTTCAATAAAAATCAAATATTACTGAGCGAAAGAAAAAAAATAAAGTGAAATTTCTTGTTTAATATCCATATCTTTAAGTAACAAAGTAAGGTAGGTGACTACAAACACTGCATCAGTTATTCTCTTATATTTTGTTTCTTTTGCATACTCAGATACAAACTCTTGTTTCTTCGAGTCTCATGGTACCAAGTTGTTTCCCAAGTATACACAATACCTTGATATAGATCTTTTACCTAATCTGCATCAATAAACAAACACAATTATTATAATTCCCCAACAATGTTTCTATAACTTTAAGCATCTTCTAATGCACCAGCTGCATTTTGTCCCAACTGAAAGGATTCAACCATAGGTGACGGTGCTGGCCTAGCTGGACTCATCCTTATTTTTTTTCCAACAACTCCATTGTATACTTGAGTTAAAAACAATGCACCCTTACTCCTATGTACTTTAATTCCCAAAAAATAACTAAGTTCCCTAAAGTCCTTCAGACGTGTACGTATGTGTATACACTATTAGCGTAGCGAATAAATAGAAAGACATCCTCTACTAATGCTTTGAATGCTATCTTCTGTAAGTAATCCCAAAGTTTAGAGTACCTATTTGTGGTCGCCTCAATCCATACACTGCCTTCTATAACTTACATACAAGTTTTGAACCATCTGATACAAACTGTTCAAAACCTGGTGTTGATGCATGAATACATTACTTTTGTTAACGCCCCATTGAGAAAGGTATTATACTTGAAAATACTAATATCAAGATAAAACTTGTTGCGGAAGACGACTATCAGATAGAGAAAAATCGCAACTGATAATTTGAGAAAATAAAAATGAAGATAAAAGAGACACAAAATTTACGTGGAAAACCCCTAAATAATATAGGGTAAAAACCACGGACAACGGTAGAAGAATTTCACTATGAGAAAATAGAAATTACAACTTCTCTCGATCTACCAAGGAGAAAATAATGATAATTATCTCTTGATAAAAAGGAGAAAACAACTCTCAAGAAAACTCTCTAAATTCTCTAGTATTGGAGAAAGCTAGAATGCTTTGGGATGATTTTGAAGCTAAATGAGCTAGGGTATTTATAGTTGAAGCTTAAGGACTAATTTGTAAATACCCTAAATTACAATGACTAAATGTAATTTCACCATTTCCCAAAAAATAAACAAAACTTTCGGTGCATTTAATGCACCACCAAAGATGGTATTGTCTTTTAACAATCTCCCACTTGAAGATTTGATTGGAACAATCATGTCTTCACACTATTCTTTCTACCTTGTACCATCATGTTGCTTACGTTTCTGACAGGTCACAAGAGAATCGACACCAAGTAAATTTATCGGTATTGATCGCCTTCGTCATGAAATCTACTATGTTGTATTTGGTATGAATTTTCTGCATATCTACTATCCCTTCTTCTACCTTTTCACGAATGAAATGGTACTGAACTCGTATGTGCTTTGTCCTTGAATAAAATGTTGGATTCCTTGCTAGATGCAAGGCGCTTTGACTGTCACAAAACATAGAGATATACTCTTGATTGTGCCCAAGCTCCTCCAATAACATCTTCAACCAAATTGCTTCTTTAGTGGCTTGTGTAGCTGCTACATATTCTGCTTATGTTGTGGATGTAGCCACAACTGACTGCAATTTTGAAACCCAGCTTACAGCTCCACCAACAATTTTGAACACATATCCTATAGTAGATTTGCTTTTATCCAAATCCCCTGCAGAGTCAGAATCTACATACCCATTGATTAGTAAGTTTGATCCTCCGTAACATAATGCAATATTTGAGGTCCCTTTGATGTATCTCATGATCCTCTATATTGTATTCCAATGCTCTTTGCCTGGATTCGCCATGTACCGACTAACCACTCCCACTGCTTGTGCAATGTCTGGTCTTGTGCATATTATAGCGAACATTAAACTTCCCACTGCTGATGCATACGGTACTCGAGACATCTCCATCATCTCTTCTGCACTGCTAGGACTCATACTGGAGGATAATTTGAAGTTAATAGGAAGAGGGGTAGAAGTTGGCTTACAATATTGCAAGTTGAATCGTGACAATATATTCTTCAAGTAATTCTTTTGTGAAAGCCAAATCTTCCTATTACTTCTGTCTCGGTGAATTTGCATCCCTAGAATCTTGTTTGCTGATCCAAAGTCCTTCATTTCAAATTCCCTAGCCAACTGTGCCTTTAATTCTTAAATATGATCTTTGTTGGGTCCTATAACCAACATATCATCCACATACAACAACAATATAGCAAAATCATTATCACCAAACCTCTTGAAATAAGCACAATGGTCTGTATTAAGTCTGTTGTATCCAAGACACATAATGAACGAATCAAATCTCTTTTACCAACACCTCAGCATCTGCTTTAGACCGTACATAGATTTGTTCAACCTGCAAACCAAGTTCTTCTTTTGTTTTTCTTCAAAACCTTCAGACTGGAGCATGTAAATCTTTTCTTCAAGATTTCCATGAAGAAAATATGTTTTAACATCTAGCTGCTCTAGATATAAGTTCAATGTAGCACACATTGCCAAGACTACTCGAACTGTTGTTAGTCGAACCACAGGAGAAAATATTTCATTGAAATCAATACCTTCTTTTTGAGCATATCCTTTGACCACCAATCTTGCACAATACCTCTCAACTTGATCGTCACCATTTCACTTGATTTTGAAAACCCATTTGTTACCAATTGGCTTCCTTCCTTGTAGTAGTGGCACAAGGTCCCATGTATTATTTTTATAAAGGGCTTCAATTTCTTCTTGCATCGCCATCATCCACAGTGAAGCATATGAGCTATTTATTGCCTCCTGATATATTGATGGCTCACCATCCTCTGTTAAAAGGCAATATGCAATATGTCATTCTATAACATAATCTGAGTACCAATTGGGACGTCTTCTCACACGATCTGATTGACGAGTTGTTGGAGTTTCAGAACTCTCTGGTTTTTGTTCATCATGTGCTGGTTCTACTTCAGAAGAATCTTCTTGTTCAAGCTCCTTTTTCACATGTATCTGTGTAGTCTCTGACTTTTCAGCGCTATCATCGTCTTCTTTTCTTTGTAGTTTATCTTCTACAAATATAATATCTCTGCTGATGATCACTTTATGGGCAGTGAGATCCCACAAGCGATACCCCTTTACACCATCAGCATACCCCAAGAATTTGCATTTCCTGATTTTGGATCTAGCTTTGAAATTTCTTGGGAGTTGTACATCACGTAGACAATACTTCCAAATACATGGAGGTTTGAATAATCAGCTGGTTTACCAGTCCACATCTCCATTGGTGTCTTCAGCTCTATTGCAGTTGATGGAGCTCGATTCATCAAATAACAGGCGGTATTGACTGCTTATGCCCAAAATGATTTTTCTAGGCATGCATCCCACAACATTGCTCTTGTTCTTTCTAACAAGGTTTTGTTCATCTGCTCTGCCACTTCATTTAGTTGAGGAGTGTTCACCACTGTGAACTGTCTTTTAATGTCTTCTTTCCTGCAAAAGTCATCAAATTCTTCGCTTGTGTATTCTCCTCCATTATCTGTTCTGAAACACTTTATCTTATTTCCATAATCAAGTTCCACCCGCGCTTTGAAGATTTTGAAAATGGAAAACACATATGACTTCTTCTTAATAGGGTACACCCAACATCTCCTGGAGTAGTCATCAATAAATGAGACAAAATATTTTGCTCTGCCTAGGGATGTAACTGGTGCTTGCCATACGTTAGAGTGAACCAATTCTAGAACACTTTTGCCTCTAGAATTTGATGTGTTGAATTTTAACCGGTGTTGTTTACTTTTTATGCAATGCTCACACAAAGTAAGTGATACATTCGTTAAGCCTGGAAGTAGCTTTTGCTCCACAAGGACTTTCATTCCTTGTTCTGACATGTGTCCAAGTTTCTGATGCCATAACATTGCAGAATCTGAACTACATGAGGCAACAGATGCTTCTGCT